TTTTTTTTTTTTTTTTTTCTGAAGTCATTTACTACTACCAGTTCCCCAGCGCCGCCCCCCTGCCCCCTCCCTTCCGTGAAAACCTCCAGCTCAGCCGCAACAGAGCAGGGAGGGGTGCGTGACTTGAGCGGAAACCTTTGCGTGGCTTTCTCCCCGCGGGAACGGCGCGGGGGATGCCACGCGGGGGAGGAAGGGGCAGACGGAAGGGACGTGTCTAACAGGGCGCTCCTCTCGCCTGCATGTCTTTTTATTCTTATCGCTCTTGCTTTATTTCTTTGCTATTGCTCTGGAAAATGTAGGAAAAGAGGAAATAGAAGAGGTACTTTTACAAAGACCTTGGGGTTTGGGGGGTTTTTAGTGCAGAAATATTATAAATAATTTCCTAGAAAACTCCTCGTCTGAATACGTTTGCAATTAAGTGACTTCTCTTTGGCAAACAATTTGTCAAACTCGGAACTTTCTTCACAGTGCTGGGGTAACAAGTTCTGTCAGAAGCTCTGGGTATAACAGTTTCGCTGAAGTGCACCCGCTGGAAGTAGTTGCTAGTGGGTGTCATACAGGAAGGAGATCGGCCTTTTCAGCACTTGTTGACTGTTAAGACCCTAGTCAAAATGTGCGGTGTTAATTCGCGTTTTGATTTAAAAGCCGTTTTAAAGAAATGCATCCTGAGAGGGACCAGGCAGTACAGACGGGCAGCTTTGGAGTGCGTGCACTTTTGTAAGCACGCAGATGTTATTCTCTCTGAATGCCCTGGAAACTGAGGGGTTTGATTTCTGTGAGTGGAACTGGCAATCTTATCACATTTGTAATGGATTTGTAGGTCAGAAGTAATATTGTTGTTCACTTTATTGGGGCTGGCTCTCACCTATAAATTTTATTTTCTCCTTTATTAGTACCTGCACCAAATTGCCAGTTTTATCATGATCACCGCTTACTCAAAACACTGCTTCGCAGATACGTTGTGTTTCCTCAGCTTTGTTCAAAAGCCAGCAGAAACACAACAGCACCGTATAATAAACCCTTCAAAACAGACTTCTTTCCTGACGGCTGGAAAAGTGTAACTGTATTAGTAAGTACGCTGGTGTCTGACAGTTGCTGATGGTGATCTGGAGCTAAATTCCAATGTTTGTACAACCAATACTTTCCTATTCTATAAAACTATTCAAAATGCAAAGTCAGGACTCTACCTTTAAGTTTTTTGCTTTGCAGGATTTAAGCAACTATCCACAGAAAGGCAAAATCCAAAAAACATAGCTGCCTCTGGTTTTTCAAGTGGAAAACTTGATCCGATATTGAAACGCTTACCCATATGCATTTTACTTCATTTATTAGCTTGTAATTAAATAAATCAGCAACAGAAATTAAAATCTAAATCACAAAAAGTAATTATCCAGTGTATTTCAAGTGCATTTTCAAATATATAATTCCAATATTCAAGCGTTATTATATAAGCAGAATCCAAATTTCTTTTGAATATATTTAAATAACATTTCAAGTATATTTATGGAATGTTAGAAATAGAACAAGCAATATATATGAAACGAAAAATGTAAACTTGTTAAGTTCAGACACTTCAAAAGACATTTAACAAAAGTACTGTGATAAAATCTACCTTTTTAAATGGTATCTTCTTTTTAGCAGAAAATGTCCTTGAAGTATCCAAAATGGCAATTTAACTTCTGCTCACCAAATCACAAAACACCAACATCCACAATTTCAAAGACAATGTGAGATCACAATATTTGATACAAATTAAAAGGTACATTAGGGTTTGTTCAGGTGGCATATCCAAATAGCTTTTACTCACAGAAGGTTTACATAAAAATACTGGGTTTTGTTATAATCCGTTGGTACCATATTTAGGCAGAATGGTCACAATCAAATTACGGCCAATTTTCCTTTACAGGTAGCACACTTTCCTTTTTTGCTTCTTTTTTTTTTTTTTTTTTTTTTTTTTTTTTTTTTTTTTTTTTTTTTTCTCTTTTCTTTTTGTTTTTCCCCCGCGGGGAACTACAAAACTGATGAAGAGGAACGATGCTTGCTGTTCTCATTTGCTTTTCTTTGTGAAGAGCCTAAGCTATATTCCTTTTTAAAAGAGAATATTATTTGCATTGCCAAGTGGAAATATATGACTTTTCAAACAGGCATCTTAAACTTCATCGGGAAATTAGCAGATTTATCGGTTAGGCCGGTGTTATAGTTGCCCTCTAAAGTTTTTCCAAACTTTTCGGGTTGGTAAGTATTTCCCTAGCCAGTCGCCACGTTTGTTTGGCCGCGTTTTCCAGGGCCGAGTGAGGTTTGCCCTGAAAGAGGTCTAAGTTGGGCAAGAAGTAGTGCGGGCACCTCCTGCACTGGAGGCACGAGATGAGCTGCAGTAAAATCCCGTTGAGCCGGTCCCCCAGGCACGACTCGTCCCAGTCCGATTCGCGGGGATGCTTTTCGCATTCGTAGGAAACCAGAGTTTTCATGTGGTAATTATTCAGGGGCTGGCCCGGCAGCTCCAGGTGACGGTCCCGTAAGGTTTTGAGGATGGAGAGGCATTTTTTCCTGCAGCCGCCCATCTGCAGTCTGTTCTCAGCTTCCGCGAACTGCAGCACCCAGGCATCGCTCTCGGCCGAGCTCTGCTTGCCGGCCAGAGAGTGGCACTCCTTGGACAAGAGGTTGAAGCCTTCCGCCTTGACCTCCGCCACCCGGTTGGGTCCCGGCCAGGGGATGTGGGGAAGCGGCCAGTGTGCAGCACTCCGCGGCCAGATCCCCGTGCACTTGAACGCTGGAGTGATCTGCACGACGTACCGATCCCTGATCCTCAGCTTCACTTCGCTGGTGTCCGCCACCATCTTTACCACGTCTCTGTAACTGCACTTATCCACGGCTTGAGCCACCAGAGTCTGGAATCTGGACCGGATTTTGCGAGCGGAGAGGTAGCCAGACGCCGTGATGAACTCCACCCAGAGGGACATGCTCCTCTTGCGCCCGTCGCTTAACTTTAACACAGCGCAGCCCGGCAAGGAGCCGTCGTCCACGAAGTTGAAAACCCCCATTTGGTTCAGATACAGCACGACTTCAAACTCCGTGGGGGAGATGACTTCCAGCCCCTCGTAGCGATTGTCCATCTCGTTCAAGGAACTGATGAAGCGAGGCTCCTGCACCTCCACCTCCTTCAGCACGTCCGACACCACTTTGCAGACTTCTCGGATTGTTTTGGCGATTGCAGCTTTCCTGGCTTGGCATTTCTCATTGTAGTATTTATTCAAATGATACACCAGCTTGGCCTGGGCCGCGATCATGTTGGGGCAGAGATCCGGATTGTATACCGGAGTCTCGCAATAGGCTGTGGGATCCAATGCGGCTGCTATGGCTGGAGCCAACTTCAGAGGAGAAACAGGCTGCCGCAACTCTGAAATGTAACAAATGTTTTTCAAAATGCGCCGGGGCTGCTGCTCCTCAGATGCTCTCTTCCTGCTTTTTTAGATCAGCCGTCTTGAAGTGTGTGTGGCGGGGGGGTGAAGGGGGGGGGAGCGGGCGGGGGACTGGAGGGGGCGATATTTTTCCTTCCCCTTTTTTTAAAGGGTCCGTGAGTGAGAGGAAAGCATCTAGAGCAGCACCTTTCCCAGCAGCAAGAAAAAACAAAAGTTGCACTGAGACACAGCGAGGGTTCCAGTAGTCAAAATAATAAAACCTCTTCGTATTTATTTATGTTTTCCCGTAGTAATCACCGTGTGTATGCAGGGCGGTTAATCAGATGGTGGAAAAAAGTGCCGTGTGTGTATGTCAGAAGAAGCTGGCTGTTGGTTTGTATAAGAGCCCAGATGCACTCGTGTGGAAATTATAAAGGCAGGGCCAGGCAGGCGGGCGGCCAATCGCCACTGGGCTCGTCACTGCAGCCTCTTTCAGCTCAAACCCGCTAATTAATCCCTCTCTAGGAGATAGATATGTATACACAGCCACACGCACATAGGCACGCACACGCAGGCACATATAGAAAGGTAGCAGGCTACTGGCTAGAAAGGCGCCCCGTTCCTCTGTACACTCGGAAATCAAGAGAAATCGCCCTCCTTTGGGTGTAACTTGAAGGGTACTGACGTTTGGAGAGGACTTGGCAAAACTGTGCCGCTTCGTACTGAATCCCTGCGTGCCTCCTCATGGCCGGGACGTGAATGCAGGTGTATTAATGGGCATCCATCAACTAGGGAGCTACAGACGGGCTCGCTCCGGCAGGGAGCACAGGCGTAAATTCATTAACCCCCACTCGGCGTCACATCACGCTGTCCTTTTCCTCCCGATAGTTGTCTGTAACTGCAAGCAAGATGTAGGTTTGGATTTTTTTTTTTTTTTTCTCTCGTGAACCGGCCAGTGAACAAGGCAGCGGATTCACGGCAAATTTAGTGTTCTTTGGAATAAATTATTGCTCAGAAGTCCACGATTTGTATTGTTTTAAAGGATCTCCTGACGGGCTCTAATCGATTTTGAGGTTTAATGCATTTTCGGCATTGTCTCTGCCTTGCTTTTTGTATTTGTACGTTATGAAGGGATAATCAATCGCTAAACATATCTGTCAGGTCTTTTTCACGTTCCTTCCAAAAATCAAGTAGCAGATACAGACGATATATCTCCTTTGCCAATTCTCAGCGTCGTTTTTATATTCTGTATTGCTCTCCGATATGTTGTGAGGAGTGGATGTTCGGCTGGTTTTCTAGACGCACTATAACTCCCTATTAATTTCAAACCTGGAGGATTTATCGTACAGCGAGATGTGCTAGCAAGCTGCGCTTAGTAAATGTGCACACGGGAGGCACGCTAGCGACTGCAAACATGCTGGCTTGCTTGTCTGACAGTTTGGGGTTTCGCCTGTCTGATGTGTAATTAGCAAATTTCGCCTTCGGTACTTTTAAGTGTTGGTAATCGGGACATTTATTTGCAAATAAGCTGGAGTGGTAAACGCTTCTGCTTCATAGCATTTACTGAGCTTCACTTCAAGAGATCCCTAAATTTTATATTTATATATATAAGGAAAAAAACCACCAAAGCTTTTTTGATCGCTTGGAATCTTTTAAACTACTGACCGATTACCTTTTCCTAAAGTAACGGTCACGGGCGCATCAATCGCTGAGGAGAAGTCATATCACAAAGAACATTTCACGACATTTATTCAGCGTACGAATACGACCAACTTTATTGCACATAGCGGAGAATTTGTGACTGTGCCCTTGGCTCCCTCGGTCTAGCGGTTATATGGTATTCCCGTGCCGCTCCCGAGGAGGAAGCCGACCGGAATCCTTTCCTGCTCGTGACTGAGCCGGGCTTGGGCTGTCGCTGAAAAACTGCAGGTGACCGGTGGTCCCGAAGCAGCTTACCTCTTCTCGGCCGCAGCCCTTGGCCGCCGGGAGAAGGGCGACCACTTTCTCGCTGTTCGGGGCGGAGAGGAGGCAGTTTCCTCCCGGGCTGTCTCCCTCCTCCGCTTAGTTTCCCGTCCGGGCGCCGGGCGGGACACGCGTGCCTCCCCCCGGTCCCGGTGCCTCCCGAGCCGCCGCCGAGCAGCGCTGCCGCGGGGCCCGGCGCCGCCGCCTCCCTCCCTCTCTCCTCCCCCGCGGGGCGGAGGCGTGCGCGGCCGCGGCGCTGCGGGCTGCGAGGGCCGGCTGCCCCAGCCTTCCCGGAGCGGCAGCTCCAGGAGTTCGGGCTGGCTCCGAGGGCACCGGCGGGCGCCTCCCGCCGCTCCTACCGGCGGCTGCCCCGGCTGCGCGGGCAACCTGCTCGGCGGCGGGGGGAAGGTCGGCTCTCTTCCCCCTTCCCCCTTCCGCGGGGCCGGCGCACGCAGAGCCGGCTCGGCGGCACGGCCACCGGCCCCGGCGGCGGGCGGGGAAGGAGCGGCTTCTTCCCGGCCCGGCGCATCCCGCCCCACTGCCCCGGGATGGGGCCCGGCACCACCCAGCCCGCCCCTCGGGCCCTGGGGCGATGCCGGCGGCGCCGTGCGCTCGGAGCCGGGGCGGCGCTGGCCGCGGCAGGGCACGGCTGGGCTGCGCACAGGAAGGAGAAGCGGTCAAGTTGGGACCAACTCCGGCGGGCGGGTCCCGGGCACCGACTGGTGCGGGGGAAGGCCCACGGCGGCCCCAGTCCGGCCCCGGCTCCCGCCCCGGGCAGCGGCCGCTGCTCCCGGAGCCGTCCAGCTCCAAGCCGCCGGCGCTGCCGTGTCGGGGGCGGCTTCTTTGGGACGGAAATGTCAAAGAGCCCCTTTCCCACAGGGTCACAGACCAGCGCCGGGTAAAACCGAAAGTTACAGCAGGCGGACAAAAGGTTGTCCCTTCCTCCCTTTCCGCCGAGGGAACAGCCCTTTCCTGCGGTGGGGGCACCCCTCAACTTCCCAGAGATGCAGGAGCCTCAGAGCTGCGCGTTAGCGATGGGGATGTTCCGGGCCAGGTTTTGTTTATTTTTGCCCCCTGGGTTTTAGCTTGGCAATTCCAGTTGCCAAAGGCAAAAGTGGAAAGGTCGTACCTTTAAGCTGTCAGAAGTCATAACATTCATGACGTGGCAAAATTAATTTAAACAAAAATTGCATCTTAGATACTAAATCAGAGTTTTCAATGTGTAGTGCTAAGATTAAGCTGTGAGACCAAGTAATGCAAGGTTATACGTATTTATTTTATCTCGATGGCTATGAGAAAGAATAGATTTAGGCTTGGTTAGGTGATGTTTAACACTGATGGTTGCTATTAACTCCACTCCATCATTTCGTTTCACACACCAAACATTTAATAGTTTAAAAATTTGTATATTTAGGCATCACGGGCCCCACTGAAATGTGATTGTTGAAGTGATCCAATCGTTTACTATGACAAGAAGTCAGTTTGGTTTGGACGTTGAATATTATTATCTACATTACTATATATGATATAAAAAATAGATATTTTTCAAAGCATCTGACCACTTCAGTTAATTTTTCTCTGTAGCTTTTAATGCATCCTTGGTAAACTACAAAAGGAACACCTTTTCAGCAATGAATTTTATTTCTACTGGGTTTATTGAGTATTAGGTTGTTTTGGAAAATGAGGATTAAAGTCACCTCATTAAAATTATGATTGATCATTTGTCATGATAATGGTACTGTATGATATTGGTGACTTTTACCAAATTGCTGTTTTCCAGATATTTCCCTTAATTAAGGGGTACTATAACAGTATTTGTTGAGCTCTGCATGTTATATCAAATCTTTCAAACTACATTGCCTTGTCATACAGTGCTTATGTTAGCCAAGATGCCAAATGGTGTTAAAAATCTTTGCATTGGCCCACATCCCCAAATTGCAATTTGGAAAAAAAAAAAAGGGAAAAAATGCCATACATATACATTTAACCAGTTATTTCTTTTTCATTTGGTGAAAAGTGTGAGTAAAAATGCACTTGCAGATGCATATCTACACAAAGGGCTTGCATGGATATCACTTTATATCTCTTATTATATAGCGATAGTTCTTCCACACACAACTGCTCATGAATTTTAAAGTTTTATTTTTTAATAACTGCCAATTGCACTAGGGAGGTAGGAAGAAAAAAAAATGAAGCTGAGTTGATTAAATTATTTATCCCTACTGCTGAAGTAAGTTTGAAGGCTCATTGAATGTATGTGATTTCTTGGCTCCTCTTTCTCCCCTTCCCCCCTCAATTCTTTCTGGTTATTTCATCTATATCATCCTGCCAGCAACAATAAATTCACTTTTTTTTTTTTTTTTCAAGTAAGAAAACTAAAGACAGATATTTGTACTGGGTTTGCTATATGTGTCATATTTTATAAAATAGGCAGTATCTTTTTTTGCGTGTTATAGGAGTTGATGGTACTTTCAATTTTCTGTATTCTTATTTTGTAAGTTACTTTTTGCCTCACTTTCAAATTTAGGAACAAATGAAAAGTTTAAATGTAAGTTATCATAATGTTTGCAATATTTCAATTTTAATAAATTAATACAATTCATTGCTAAGACTCATGGGTATCAAGTTCTGCATATTTTGGTACACAAGCATTTTTCTTCTGTTGTGAGCAGTTCTCTGCAATTTTTTAAAAATTTTTTTGCAAAATTATGACATAGTCTCTTTCACAGTACACAATTAGCATTAGTGTGAAACTTAATGTGTATGGATTTACTTCCTATTAAATATTAAAGAAAAACATGAAGAGAGTTTGCATTACTGTTGGACTTGGTCATCCTAGGTCATATGGATGAGCTGTTAATACTTTAAATTCCTCTAATCTGCAATCTGTTAAGGGAAAAAACAGTAATTGATTTGTTTTCTCTAAAATGTTGCATCTCAAAAGTAAACACGGAGCTTGCACAACTGTGATTTTGTCTAGAACTGCAGAAATATGTAAGCAGGAATAAAAGACATTGAATTAGTCCTTTGGTTCACTTATCCGTCAGCTTCTCCAAATCCAGACATTCCTTATAGTACGGCATTTTATTTAAGTAGTCCTACTTTTGGTTTATTTTGGTTATTTTTCAAAGATCTCCAGCTTGGAGAATGTTCTTTTTTTGCTGAACTGCTAGAGGAGTGTGGAATCAGTGGGGATTAGTGCCTTTTAATCTACTACATCTGTAGTGGGCTATCCAACACTGCAGAACTCTCATTTACTTCCTATTGCTGTATATGATTAAGTAGCTGAAAATACTGAACGTTGCCCTTGAAGATAAAGCTGTATGTGTTGGATGAGCAGCTTCTGAAGACTTCATATCTAAACTAATCTTTTCCCTCAGTAACTTTAGCCCTGGAATATGAGAGAGGACTAGAGTGTTAGAAAATGTAAGTTGAAATTGAAGTATGGGAGCATTTGAAATGTGTCATTATATAAATTATGGCATCACACAACATGCTATGTCTTACCAGTAACTCAGCATCTTATAAACCCAGTCAAAATGGGAGGGTGGTATGTCTTGAACATACTTATTTTTGTGGCTGGTGCTTTTCTGTAAGCTGGTTTCATACTGACTAACAAACAAAACTACATCATCTTGTT